CTTGCCCTTGCCTCCTGAGCTCACAGATGCTTCACCTTTGCCGCCAACATTCACCCTGGTACCACCACCACCACCTGGTTTTCCTGAATTTTTTATTGATAAACATGTTTAGTAAAGCAGGTGTTAAGATGTGAACAAAATTATACTTATAATTATTATAAATATTTTATACTTTAAAATATTCTCTTTGTATATTTTATATCTTAGAATATTCTCTTTGTAAGCACCTATATATAGGTTATTGTATATACAGTATTATTCAAGAAAGCAATAAACCTTTCTTCAAATTATTCTTTTTCTTTCTGTTTCCAACATGGTATCAGAGCTATAAGCTCTTGGATCTTTTCTCTTATCATTGCTGTTTGGTTTTTGGAGTTTGATTTTCAATTCCATTTCAGATATGAAATTTTGTCGTTGGAATCTCTTCTCTTGTAGATTGGATTGTTTATCCTTGATTTTCAGGCCTTTTTTTTAGGTATTTTGTTGGTTTATCGTTTCAATATTGGCATCTATTTCTTCATATTTTTTTAGAGTTTTTCAATATTGTGAGTTTTACTAATTCTATGGCGAGTTTGAAAGGATTGTAACTCATCCTGCTATTGCTATGGTTGCCAAAGAAGTGATAGACCAACTTAATGTCAATCTTGAATTCCTAAAACAGGTGATCTTAAATCTTTTCAATGCTCTTACTGCCTTATCTACTGCTCCAAGTACCAAACCTTGGTATTTTGATTCTGGTTGTTGTAACCATATGTCTTCAATTACTGCGCATTTCTCTTCAATGTCACCAAATAATTCATTTCCAGAAATTTATTCTGCCAATGGTTCCCCTATGAATGTTAGTCACATTGGCAATATTTCTACAAAGTCATTGACTTTAGCAAATGCCCTCTTAGTTCCAAAACTTAGTTATATAATCTTTTATCTATTGGTCAATTATGTGATCTTAGTCTTGAAGTAACATTTTCTACTCATGGTTGTCGTGTGTAGGACCCACGAACATGACAACTTCTTGGAACTTGTCGTAAGGTGGGGCGTTTGTTTAAGCTCAACTATCTGCATACTCTTGATAATAAAATGGATGCACCATTATTTCCAAATGATCGATTCATCCAAACTTTGCTTTGTGCTGTTGAATTAGAGTCTCTACAGATTCCATATCAACAAATTTTGCAAGCCTGTGTTGCTAATAATGTTTCTCCTCTCCATTTGTGGCACTCACGGCTTAGACATACCTCAGTTGTTAAACTTCATCCACTTATCTCTCGTGGTTTATTAGGGTCAGTTTCGGATGAATTCTTGCATTATGTGTCATGTCAATCTGCAAAGCAACCAGCTTTATCTTTTTTGAGTAGTCATTATTATTCTACTGCTCCTTTTGATCTCGTGCATTCTGATGTTTGGGGTCCATCTCCTACACCCACCATGGGGGGTTCCAAGCACTTCGTGTTATTTATTGATGATCATACTCGTTTTACCTGGATATACCTTATGAAAAATCACTTTGAATTATCACAAATTTATGTTGATTTTGCTACCATGATCAAAACAAAGTTTTCTAAAATTATCAAAGTTTTGAGAATAGATAATGCCACTGAATATCTTGGTACTAAACTTCAGTCCTTTCTGAAAGAACAAAGTACATTGACACAATAATTTTGTCCTTACACTTCTAAACAAAATGGGCGAGCCGAACGCAAACACAGACACATCCTTGGTTCTGTTCGTGCTTTGCTCATTTCATCATCTTGTTCAAAGCGATTTTGAGGTGAAGCTACTCTTATAGCTGTTTATCTTATTAATCGCATTCTATCATTAGTCCTTAATAACCAGTCTCCATATGAGTCTTTACATGGTATTCTTCATGCTTATAATCTTCTTAAGGTTTTTGGTTGTGCATGTTTTGTTCTTCTTCCATCTCATGAGCATAACAAGTTAGAGCCTAGAGCTCGATTATGCTGTTTTTTGGGTTATGGGATTACACAAAAATGATATCGTTGTTGGGATCTTGTGTCACAAAAACTCCGAGTTTCACATCATGTTGTCTTTTGGGAACACATTATGTTCTCATTATTGTCAAACTTCAAAGTGTCATCCTCTCATCAACCTCCATTTTTTACTAATCCTTCTATTAAGCTATTTCCTAGTAATTCTAATGTAAGTACTTTTGATGAGCTCTACAATGCCTCACCACATGCTCCAACTAGTTTTATAGAAGATGATCTGCTTGTTGGTAATGCATTAGATAATTTTGAGCCTTCGTCTACTTCCTCGTTTGTATCACTTGTTCATGTTGCGTCTGATATTGTTGAGTCTACAAATGAGCTTGTTGTCCTATCCTCGAGTCATCCTACTCGGGTAAGAAACCCTTCCAGCTACCTTTATGATTATCATTGTTTTCCTGCTATTACTTCTTTACATGAGCCTCAATCCTATCAAGAGGCCTCTTCTAATCCCCTTTGGCAACAAGTTATGCAAGATGAATTACAGGCTCTTAAGAACACTTGTACATGGGATTTAGTTAATCTCCCTATTGAAAAGTCTCTGATAGGCTATAAATGGGTGTACAAGATCAAAACAATATTTGATGGTTTTGTGGAGCGTTATAAGGCAAGCTTGGTTGCCAAGGGTTTTACACAAGAGTATGGAATAGACTATAAGGAAACATTTGCTCCAGTTGCTTGTCTCACATCTGTGTGCAGCTTACTTGCTATCGCTGCTATACTGAGATGGAAATTGTTTCAGATGGATGTGAAAAATGCCTTTCTTAACGGTGACCTAGAAGAAGAAGTTTATATGAAACTACCTCCTAGGCTCAACCATCTTCCAAACAAGGTATGCCGATTGTGACGTGCATTATACGGATTGAAGCAATCCCCTCGAGCCTAGTATGCCAAGTTTAGTGCTACTGTGAGTGAGCTTGGTTTTACTTCCAGTCCACATGATACAGTTCTGTTCATTCATAAACTGCTCAGGGTATGGTTCTTTTACTTCTTTATGTTGACGACATAATTATTACTGGAGATGATGTCGTAGGTATTGAGGAGCTAAAACAATCTCTCAGCCAGAAATTTGAGTTGAAAGATCTTGGTGTTTTGAGCTATTTCCTGGGGCTTGAATTCACCTCTTCAAATGATGGTTGCTTGCTTTCTCAAGTAAAATATGCCTCCGATCTTGTTTCTAAAACTGAACTCAATGATGGTAAGATTGTTTCTACACCTCTTGAACCTAATGTCAAGCTTACACCTGTGGATGGCTCTCCACTTTCTGATCTTACTTGTTATCAGCAATTGGTTGGTAGTCTGGTTTATCTTACCATGACATGCCCTGATATAGCATATGCAGTTCACATTGTTAGTCAGTTTATGGCTGCTCCTCGCTCCACTCATTATGTAGCAGTATTTCGCATTATTCGCTATGTTTAGGGAACATTATTTCATGGACTCCATTTTTCTGCTAACTCCTCTCCTGTGCTTCGTGCTTACTCTGATGCTGATTGGGCTAGTGACCCTTCCGATCGTCAATCTACCACTGGCTATTGTCTTTTCCTTGGTAATTCTCTTATCTCTTGACGGAGTAAGAAACAAACTATTCCATCTCGCTCTAGTACTAAAGCGGAGTATAGAGCTCTCGGTGATACCACATCAGAACTTCTTTCATTGTGGTGGTTTCTTGAAGATATGGCATTCCTCAACCTTCTTCTATTGATTTATATTGTGATAATCAAAGTGCTATGCAGATTGCTCATAATGATGTCTTCCATGAACGCACTAAACACATTAAGGTTGATTGTCACTTTGTTTGCCATCATGTTGCACAAGGAATTGTTCATTTGGTTTTCATTGGCTCCGCTAATTAACAAGCAGACCTCTTTACCAAGACTTATTTTCCTGGACGCTTTCGTACTCTTCTTTCCAAACTCAAGTTGGTTTTATCATAACCACCTTGAGTTTGAGGGGAATGTTAAGATGTGAACATAATTATACTTATAATTATTGTAAATATTTTATATTTTAAAATATTCTTTTTATATGCTTTATACATTAGAATATTTTCTTTATAAACACTTATATATATATAAGTTATTGTACATACAATATTATTCAAGAAAATAATAAACCTTTCTTCAAATTATTCTTTTTTTTTTCTATTTCCAACAGCAGGTTATTGTGATATATAACTGAAAAAAAAAAAGGCATGACTCATAAGCCTTCTGTGTATTTTTCCTACGCAGGTACACACACGGTCTCTTTGATCTAAATCTCATTTTGGTGATTTACACTCATTATCCACAAATATAAAGGAGGGCAGATACCAGGGTGTAGAAGTTCTCTAACAGCTTTTGGCATTGGGGTATTTGGCAGTACAGTCTTCCAATAGGCCTCGGGTGACAGAGCAGCGTGGCTTGCCACCAGTGCCACCTGCATAATCAAGTTCATATTAAAGCAATTGCCTCATGCTTACAATTACCAAATGGATGACATATATAGTTTGAAGAGAAGATTCACACTTACAGCTAGAGGAACAAAGATGGGAAAAAGACGGAATGCCATTGGTTCTTTGAGAGTGCTGCAGAAAACGAGAGAAGGAACTGAAATCTAAGCTTGTTTGGCAGCCAATATTTATGGTCACAAAATTTTTGTGTTTATAGAATTTAGTTAGTACGGGTAGGTCCGCGCGTGCGGACGTGAAACTGCATGGGGAAGTCAAATGTGTCACGTTATAATTTTCTAATGCGAAGTGCACAGCATGTACCAAATTCGAATCTCTCTGCAAATAGGGACTATCCCTGGTCCCAAGGATAAATGTAACTACATTTCTGAGTCAGATACGAGCCCTTTAACTTCAAAAAAAAAAAATAATAATAATAATAAAAAAACCGTAGACAACTATGTTAGATTGCTACGTTTGTAGTTTATTATTGAATTATTTAGGTAAAACTTAAGTTGAGCTGCTGAATTTATCTCAGTTTTCTATTAAAATTTTAAATTTTTATTGAAATAAATAAAATTTTAAACTTGATAATTTAAATAGTTTAATCCTTTTTTTATAGCAAAATTAATACCATTTATGCATCGTTTACATAAATAAGGTATTAACACATTATTATTTACATTATAGATATTGATTTTATTCACACAAATAAGATACAAATGAATATTAAGTTTATTGTAAATAATAGAATTAAATTACTCAAATTCACAAATTTAGAAATTTATTTACTTTAATAAAAGTTTAAAAACTTAGTCAAGAATTTAAACTAAATTCAAGAGTTTAACATAAAGTTTTGTCAACTATTTATTAAGAAATGATTTTGTATTTTAGTGATGGTGAAATTCATAATTAATTTTCCATGTACCATCTTTATCCTTCACGAAATGTTCAAATGGTTTTGTTAGAGAAGTGAATGGGATCCTAATGTGGTTATCATTACTATTAATATTATTAAGATTATTAAAATTTTAATTTTTTTTTAAAAATAATATAATAAAATATTAGTTTGTTCAAGGACTTTAATTTATTAGCCAATAATAAAAATTAATTACTTTATTAATTGTTAGTTTCAATTAAATTATTAATTATTTTTATTAATTAAATCAAATAAAATTAATATTTTAAGAATAATATATTTTACAATTTTAATAATTATCATATATTATTGTTGGTAGCCGTGTCCATGGAGCCCATCAACAATCAATTATTTGGATGTGGTGTGTGGGTGGACCATAACGTGCCAATGGGCCCAATGGAGCCCATCAACAAATTATTTGGATGTGATACGTGGGTGGTCCATAACGTGCCCTTAGGAGCCCATCAACAATCAATTATTTGGATGTGGTGCGTGGGTGGACCATAACGTGCCCATGGGAGCCCATCAACAAATTATTTAGATGTGACACGTGGGTGGTCCATAACGTGCCCATGGGAGCCCATCAACAAATTATTTAGATGTGACACGTGGGTGGTCCATAACGTGCCCATGGGAGCCCATCAACAATCAATTATTTGGATGTGGAACGTGGGTGGTCCCTATTGCACTTGTCAATGAAGCGTTAGATGCTAAAAGGGTATTTTAGTCTTTGTACTTTTTGAGCTTATTCAAATCAGCTCTTTTATTTATTTATTTATTTATTTTGAAATTTATCAATCCATGTATTCTTATATTTAAATAAATCTACTCACACAATTTTCAATTGAAATAATGCAACCTAAATTTTAATTGATGATGTTATGACACGTTAAAATTTTGTGAAATTATTGTACAAGTGTTAAGATCTTAACGATTTTGCTTAGATTTCCCACTTCTTCTAATCCAGATGTTTTCAAAATTCTTCTACAGCTTGATGATGTGACTTTCTTCTCCTCACTCACGCTCTGTTTATGCTCGATCAAATGTGTTCCTGGATAACATTGAGGACAATCAACAGTGTAGATTAAAATCTCAGAGAGAAATAGAATCGAGTGGCAAAGAGATAGCTGTCTTGTTTTATATTTTTGCGATGGATTGGTCGTGGTGGCGTAATTAGCTAAACCCAGTTAAGAAAAAAAATAGAAACTGTTTGGGTAGCTTCATGAATTTACATTGTAGAGATTTTTAACTGTTTCAACACTTGAAAAATTCAAGAATGTTTTTTTTGAAAGAAACACTATGACGCTTAAGTTAACAATATTTAATATCTTAAAAAAAAAATTCTTAAGGATAATTGTAAAAAGAAAAGTGTTGTGTACTTATTGCATTGAGTGGAGATAAGTGAAGGTATTTCTAACTCCCGGACGATAGCATGAGCTCATATATGTGAACATCTGATTGATGTAAACACCTAAGTGGGTGTGTTTGGGCTAACGTATAAATGTATATTCATTTTGGACTCATGAACAAACGACTAGGCCTATTGTAAATGGCCCAGGTTGGATGTTGGGTCATTCCAAACAGAAACAAAGAAAGAAAGAGGAAACAGGGTTTGTGGGGATGCTTGTTTTCTTGATTTTTTTTGAAGTTTTATTTTCTTTGGTGTGTTGGATTGACTCTAGATCTTTGGAAATTGGTTGCTCGGATAATGCTTGTTTGTTGTTCTGTTATGTTCTTCATTAAGGTTTTCTGTTAGTTTAATTATTACTCTGGATTTTGTTAGATTTTATGAAAGGAAAATGAAAAAAATCAAAATGTTTTCCCATTTAATAAAATTAAGACTTATACTATAATTCACATATTAAATAATTATAATTAAATATTTTAATATTTTAAATTTCAGAATGTCTTAATTATTCTTTTTTTCTTTGTGAAATTTTATTTTGCCTTTTGTGGATATTATCTCTTATTATTATTATTTTTAAATGAGCATGGCTTTTAAAGTGTTTTGTGAATTTTATGGCTTTTTATTTATTTTTCGTTTAATAATTATGCAATTTATGCATAATTATCAAATTAAGGAAGGTCTCTTTAGGGTTTTAATTGTTACTATCCTAAAATTATTTTATATTTTAATAAATTTCTCCAACTATGGTCATCCATTGTTTCATAAAATCCCTATCTGTTCGATCAAGTGTGTTCTTGGATCACACTTGATCAAACTGGGAATTTATTTTATATTTTACTCACTAATGAACACGGGCATTTAAGATGCCCGTCCAAAGGAGTCTAACTCGACAATTTTCCTTGTCATGTCATTGCATAATATCTACATTAGTAGAAAATTTTCTATGTCACATAAATGGATCTTATATATGCTAAACCATTAAAATTTTGACAGTAATATAATAAATTTTATGAAATTTTGATATGCCATGATGGTCAGTAGTTAAATTTAAATCAATTTATTTTAATTAAAAATTACATGTGTTGATTTATTTTAATATAAAATATGTGAGTTGATATTAAAAAAATTTTTTTTATGGAATTTGCTTTAATTTGATTTTAAATTAATTATGATCTAATGTAATTTTTAAATATGAAAAAAATAATACAAAAATACAAAAATTAAAATACCCATTTTATGTACAGCACGAAATGTCTGAATGGTTTAATTAGGGAAATGAATGGAGCCCATCAACAAACAATTATTTGGCCGTGCATCAATTATTTGATAAATTATTTTGGATGTGGATCAATTATTTGGATGTGGTAGGTGGGTGGTTCCTATTGCATGCGTTAAAGCAGGATTGGACGGTGATGGATACATGGTTAAATGAAATGGAACCACAAATTTTGAAATTTAAAAAAGAAAAGTGGAAACCAAGATGTTTTAATGTTTAAACTTTAAATGTTAAAATTTTTTTGAAAAATTATTTAAATATTTTTCATAATTTTTATATTAATTTATTAAAAGTGTTTTAATTTCTTCATTATAAGTTTTAACATTTTAATTATCAAAATGTCTTAATTTTTCTTAATTTTAATTCAAAATGCATAAACTTTATACAAAATAATTTTTCATTTTTTCATTCAAATTGTAGCATATTAAAACAAAAATATTACAGTTACAATGTCAGTATATTATGTGGTATTGTAAGTATACAAAATCATATGTCATTATATGATTAAATCTTTTTATTTAAAAGTCCACCGTTAATATTATATGTGTTTATTTATTTAATGACAAGTTATAATTCATTAAATACCATATAAGATTATAAACTTATGATCCTACATGATATTAGAATAATTAATGGCATTATCAAATTGCAAAATTGGAATAGTTAAATGATGAGAAAGTCACTAATATTAAGGAGTTTCGCTTCTTATCAATTAATTTTTATTATATAATTTGATATAATTTAAATTATATAATAATTATTTTGAATAAAAAAATAGCTATTAATGAGGAAGGTTAGTCTTTAAGATAGCGCATTAAGTACCCAAACCATTGATTTTAGAACCTAATTTGGCCATCAAGGAGTTGGGTGTCACCGCTAACTCTTAAAGATGAATTTATTAATGTGGAAAGAAGCCTATTATTAGTGTTAAATATAAAGAAAGAGAAATAAGTGGTTAAGAAGTTAAGTAGGTTTGGTTTGAGAGAAATGGAATGGAAGGAAATTAAAGAATATCATACTTTTT